TGTAAATACCGGAAAACGGTGTGTATACCTCAGGTGCATCAAATGGTATAAAGCAATTTCTTGAAAAAGCTCTCATCATTAATAGCTTGTGTTTTTGGCTTTTAACCCTTTTCCTTCATGACGTCATACATGTATATTTCACGCTTGAGTAATTCTGAACAACGATTTTAGTGCACAGTAACCAAGATACCCCTCCGACCAGTTTTCTTACTTTTTAGCCAGACACTAAAAAATCTTCCCATATTATGATACCCTGCATTTCTTTTTTCCTTCCAGTATATTAAAGAGTCTCTTTTCATAAACCTCTGCGAAATTGAACATGCACAGAAGAAAAAACAAAAACAGTCAAAGATTGACAATTATTTCTGTAAATAGATACCCTTGTTCATTGTATGTTCTGTGTAAAGATACAAATATTTTTATGATGTAAATTATGAGATTTTTCTTTTCACAAAAAAAAAAAAAAAACTATGGTAGTAAATATTTTTATTCACTTTATTTTCATATTCATTTATTAATTTCCGACAAAAAATGAAATGCATTATATTTAAAATGTGTAAATCATTAAACCTATGCCGATTCATCGTTAAAAAATTACTTTTAAGTTGTATAATCTTTGCATAATCCGGAATACATAAGTTCTCCAATGTAGATTTGAGATTTAACATTTCAAAGAACATATCCGGTAGTCCTAACAAGAAGGTAAAAAACAAGCAATGTTTACTGGGAATTTGCTGTATATTTTTTTTTACGAATTCGTTATGTTACGAATATAACGAATTACGGATATATGGTGAAGTAAATTCAAAGGTCCCAAGACCTTCGCAATAACGTCCGAGTATCGAATACTAAGATCGGTACTCAGTTATTCGGATGTATATTTTCTTCATATTTTAAATTGCATGTCACTTATTCTAAAATGTCCACATTCTTGTGATTGATAGAATATAATTAAATATTACTAAACACACTTCTTACTTGTTGCTGTGAATTTGATTCCTGGCACATAGAATTAAAAAAAAAATTAAAAATTTAATTTAAAAAAAAAACAATAGATATACATGTATTTCTATGCACCGGACCGTCACGGCAGCTCAGTCGTTCACGGCCGCAACTGACCTAAGTCGATACAAAATAGGTAGCAACCGTACCTTCGCCAAGCGCTCGGAAGTAAAAGTTGCGGGACTTTCGAGACCTTAAAAACCGAGGCCCCGTGTTACGATATGCATTGGCACGATAAAGAACCCTCGCAGGCTCAATGGCCCTGAGTGCCTAGTAAAGGTCTAAATTTGAAACCCTTCACCGGTATATGGTGACGTCTCTATATGAGTGAAAAATTCTCGAATGGGACGTACAATCTATGCACCGGACTTAAAGTAAATTTTGTGCTCAAATACCTCACAATGGTCTGATTTCTCATTTGATTTCACCACTTATTGCATTTATATTGATAGATTCTCCATTCCCTTTTCACCCAAATCCCCCTTTATAATGTTTTTATATTGAATATGCTATTATTTATCAAAAACTAGATAAACTGTCTCAACTAAAATCACCAAAATAACAAAATTTAAGCTGAATCAAAGTTTGATATTGCCATGTCCTTGCTGTTACCCACAACATTTAAGGACATGTAAGAGTTATTTACCTTTCGATAACTCTTCTTTAATAAAGTGTCCCTGAACACCACTTCCTGTGCAATAACTTTGCTACTGAAAGCAGACGCCAAATTGTTTTTTTCCAATATATCGATATCAAGGTATGAATTATCTCAACCGTAATAATTTTAAGGTCCATGTAGTTATTTGTAAAATGATGACAAACAATTGATTAATTTATTTATGTGTTGTTTAATGTCCCTCTCGAGAATTTTCCACACATATGGAGACGCCACTTTTTGCCGGTGGAGAGCTGCAAATTTAAACCTATACTCGGCAATCAGGACCATTGAGCAGTGAGGGATCTTTTTCGTGCCAGCACCTACTGCGACACGGGAACTCATTTGTCAGGTCTCATCCGAAGTCCGGTCTTCGAATTCGAATTTGGAATTCGAACCCGCGACGTAAGGATAAACTCCATACTCTGCGACTTACCACTGATCCACGCGGCGACTGACAAACAAATGAAGCAAGTCTTCAAAAAGTTATCGTTGAAATTTCCGTTTGAAGCCGTTGAAGATGATATTTTATTTTTATGTAATAGATGTATATTTTAATGAATAATTTAATAAATGATAAATAAATAAAAAAAAAGTTAAAATAGTTAATTAAATAAATAAAATCTAAAGTCTTTCTATTACTAACAAAGTATTAAGTTACACCACACCACCCGTCCCTTTAGATCCACCTACACATTTCATACCAACATTCATTCATTGGTTGTACACTTGCATTCCATTGGTGAGAAAGTTTTACATTGTCCAGAGGGTGAATATTACTCAGATTTAAATTTCATAGTCATGTAGACATGCAGAAGTTTTTCTGGTGAAGTACTGAATTTATTGAAATCTACAGTATTGTATTTATTATATTTCCTGACATTTAATTCCTGGACAGAGACAGAAATGTAAGTACTAATATTTTAACCTTTTAATCTAATTAATTAGAATAAGATATACATGAGAAACTAAGAATTTGTTACTTGGTAAAAATTATGTGTATAGAATATTTTATACCTATGATTAAATCAGATATGGATAAATCTGATATTGCTATTAAGTTTAATATATTAAGATCCTAATAAATGTATGTGGATTAATATTTTCATATTAAATATTTTGGTATTCTTTGTAAATACAGAGATATTGTAAAGAGCATATCTTTAGGAAGTTATTATTATTAATATAGTGTATCATCATATTTGAAAGACCCATACAGTTTGTCAGATGGACTTTGTTCCATAAACCGGTATGCATTGCTATTTTGTTATTTTATTATATAAGAAAGATAATTCTTCACGATTGCGGAAAGTGATTTTAAAGATTAAGCTTGTAATAGTTATTTCCCTTTACACATGTAAAGCGTATTAAATTCCATACAGTGAAATATTTATTTAGAACACTATTTGTATAATGATTCCTATGTATATCTCCCATTATATTTTATTGTACCATTCTAATGTTATTGTATGTTTTATATTAATTTCAGAGCCAGTTATGTTGTGATATCTGAAATGATGTATAGATAATATTAAAAGAATAAATGTTCTTCGACTTATTCATGCCGGGATTTCCCGTTACATTTAGACCGGGGAGTCGTTATTTTCTAATTAGAGAATAAGTTTGGCAAATATGTCCTTGGTGTTACTAGTAACACAATGGATATATTTCGTTATGCCAAGGACTTTTTGTCTAATTAAAGGTTTTTAATCTTGTTTCTTTTATCTAAAGAAAATTTGATGACATGTTATTAAGATATAAAACAAATTATTTTTGTTTTATATAAAAATTCGTAAATAAACAGTAACACTATAGAAAGTTACAGTAACACTCTGGACAGATAAATAGAAAAGCAAATGAAATTCAAACTGCAAATCTTTATATTTGTTCAAAGTCCTTGAAACACAGATCAAATACAGATATGCATGCATATAGATGAAAGATAGTCCAGAGTGCATACAGAAATATAGGCATGACTGTTGAAAGAAATGGTAACATCATGGATATTTCAGGAGTAACATCAAGGAATATCCGTAACATACGATGGCCGACAGCGGCCGCCACTTTCTGATTAAGAATATTGTCATTTTGTACAGCGTTTTTGTCAATTTTCGTTGACATATTACAACTAAACTGGTAATGCTATATGTACATCTACACTTTTTACACTGACAATTTACACCAGCGAAAAACATTAAAATTCTTTCGTGATATGAAATTAAGATACATAAAACAGGTGGCTTGAAAGAGATAAGGAACATTTTAGTGATTTTCACCCTCAATTAGTCTGAGATATCGTAACCCAGTTAATCCTAGATTAGACGTAAATCGTCATTCTGTCACCTTGTTGTATCATTAAAAAGATATTCTTGGGATTGTAATTAAAAAGGCGAATAAAAGTAATACGTTTGTTGTAATGGATATACATGAATATAATGGATATATCTCGATCCTCAGATTGTATGAGACAACTCGATTCTACCTATTATGTAGAGGTAGAAAAACAGGATTAAGTAGCTCTACATGTGAGCATCCAATCAAAAGTTTATGGAATGTATCAAAAACAAAACTTTAGATACGGAAATATACCCGTTTTTAAGCAACCTTAAATGTGGGAGTCTGTATTTGCTCCCTAAATACATAAAATTAATAACTAAATGCTTGAAACACTTTTAAAGGCCAACGCAACCCCTCAAGACTTCCACCTGGTCGGCCAATTATTTTTCAATGTGGCACGGGAATGAAAATATAGGTACAAGTAACTAATGTGATCATTTCCTCATGCGCATTGTTTAAAAAACAAAATTAATACATCAAAGACACGTCCGATTATGAAGAAAATCAAATTTCTGATAGACCTGGAAAATTTCATCCTGGTCACCTATGATGTGACCAGCAGGTACACCAACATGGAATTTTATGAATTAATTACTACAATCTGTCGAGAAAGCATATCTAGAAGACAATACTAATCTGTAAACACCCCGACCTTCCTGTTCTGCTAGAACCTTAAGCTTATCACCTTCAAGTAACCAGTTTTATGTATCTTCATTTCATATTACAAGAAAGAATTTTAATGATTTTCTCCAGTGTAAATTGTCAGTGTAAAAACTGTATATGGACATATAGCATTACCAGTTTAGTTGTAATTTGTCAACGAAAATTGACAAAAAAAGCTGTACAAAATGACAATATTTAGAATCAAAAGTGGCGGCCGCTGTCGGCCATCGTAGTAACAAGATTACAGCTGACAATTAGCAAGTTCTAGAAAACATTTAAAACTGAAGTAATATTAGTTTCTTAAGACTTTTATTAATATTTAGAAAGTAAAATGCCACTGACAATGCCGAAAAACAGCGTCGTTATAGACAGAAAAGAGAAAGAGACAGTGACCCAGAATGGAAGTGGGAAAACGTAAACGAATAAAAGATATGACACCAAGGGAACAGAAAAGAACGGAGAAAATTAAAAAAAAATCAAAGAAATAAAAGAAAGCAGCAGATGAAATCCTTACACCACCTTCTACGCCACAACCCGCACCTGTTCGGCTCAGTCAGGAACGTCACAGCACAAGAAGGAAAAAAACGGTTGATAGCAAGGTGCTACAGAGACAATGCACAATTAAAATCCCAATTGAAAGTACAGAAACGATTGACACACAGGCTTCAGATGCGCTTGTTAAGACTGAAAAACGAATGTACATCTCAAACAAGCATGGGGCAGGAAACTCCGAGAACAAAGACAAAAACGTATAAAACACTGGTCTACAGAGAAAGGGTAAGGATCTAGTGCAAAGAGACGGCTTCTGAAAAGACAAACCAAGAAAGCACTTCAATTTCAGTTCACATTGCATCAAGAACTATTGGCAAAATATAAAGCAAAGAGCAAAGAAAAGCAACTTTTTAAGAAAATACCAAGATTCTTATAGAAGCAGTAAAGCAATTTGGATTCACGGCAGGAAGACAGCGAAAAAAGAGAGGCTCACTCGGTAAATGAGATGGTCCGTGCTTTTAATGAGAGCGATGACATAAGTCGACTCACAGCAGGATATTTCATACATTGTCAAGTAACTATCTTAAATGGACACAGAATATGGAAACTCAAATAGACCGTAAGTAGAAAGCTACTTTAAATTGTATCATGTGCTGGACAGTCAAAAGCTATATTTTAATGGTCATCAACAAAGCTGCTACGTGTACTGTGGTTTGACATTCATGGGCTTTATAAAATCTTTGCAAAAGCACTTTTTCCTCTTTTAATAAGTGTACTGTAATTCTACAAGAAATAAAACATTAAAAAGTATAAAAAGTAAATCACTGTGAATTTTAACAAAATGTGCGGTAAGGAAGACAATCGGCACAAGAAACTCCTAAATTAAGTTCTATTTGCCGATTGCACCGTTTTCCAGATAAATAAGGGAATTTTGAAGTGTCCCTGTAATTTCCTTTTATGAGACACCAGATAATTCCACGAAGTTTCCATCACACGGAAACCTCTACGCTCCGATTCCATGTAGTTTCCTGAGTCATGGAAACTTGAGGAATCACAAGGTTTCCTCTAGTTTCCGTTCATGGGAAATCTGAGGATTCCATCGAGTTTCATTCCATGGAAACCACTACGCTCAGATTCCACATAGTTTCCTAATTATGGAAACCAGTGGAATCTTCAGGTTTCCCATTACGGGAAACTACATGGAGGCTTGGGAAACTTCAGGTTTCCTGGGGTTTCCGTGGTTCGGGATACCTAATGGAATCGGAGCGTAGTAGTTTCCGTGGTACGGAATCTTGACGGAATAACCTGGTATCCGCTGCGGAAACCACTAGGAAACATGATGTAATATTGAGGTTTCCATGTGGTTTCCATATAGTTTCCCATGACGGGAAACTGCTTTTTTCACCCAGTGTTAACTTCTTCAAGATTAAAGGAATTCCTAGTGTGGATCTAGCTTATAAATGATATTTCCTCACTTTAGTGTTTGAATATATGTTGTGTGAATATCGTATATGTTTTTTCTAAAGTGAATTTTTTTTGTGTTTAAGTGATGTAGACTTTCAATATGTTAATCGATATTTTGCAGTCGATTTTAACATCTCTTTTTCTAGAAATATATCGTAATCATAATTTTCAAAGAAAATGTTTTCCTCAATTTCATCTGCTTCAATTTTATAAATAAATGTCAAGAAATAAACACAGTGAACACTAGGCGCACTTTGGACTTAATACAATTGAAGGTCGCTGTTCTTTCTGATATATAAAATACTGACAGAACATAAAATTGTCAACATTGTTTATAAATATATGTATAAACAACATTTTTAATATAATGGATGATGCCATATTTTATAGATAATTTATTTTTTGAAATAAAGCACTATGTGATGAATTAAAATTTTGCTTTTTCTCTAAAAGCACACAATTCTCATTTTCTTTTTCTTCACATCAACATAAATAGGTTTTTTTCTCGCTATTAACAACAATAATGTATTTGTTTGTTTAACGTCCCTTTCGAGAATTGTTCACTCATGTTGAGACGCCACCAGTTGCCGGTGGAGGGCTGCAAATTTAGACCTTTACTCGGCACTTAAGGCCATTGAGCAGTAGGGGTCTTTATCTTGCCAGCACATACTGCGACACAGGACCTCAGTCTATGCAGTCTCATCCGAAAGACCGGTCTCCACGTCCCGCAGTTGGATTGGAACCCGCGACCTAAGGTTTATCTCATTACTCCGCGACTTTAGAACAATTGCTCTAATACTGCGCCACGCAGGCGACAAGCTTATTTATTCGCGTCTCAACTATCTTTTACTCGCAAATATTTCTCTCCGCGAACAATTTATTTTACTGTGTATTAATGTAGAATAATTCTTCAGTTGTGAAAATTTGATACATTTTAAACTAAAAAAAATCGCGAATAAAATTTTTGGCGAAGGTTGTGGGTTTACAGTAGTCCACATTTTGCAGAAATTTCCCTTTGCAATGGTCAAACAAAAGGTAACAAATCAATGTATATCTTCTTTACACTACAAAACATTTTCGCATGCTGCGATAAATTAAAAGAGATAAAATTTGCTAGAAGTGCAATTGAAAAACCAGATCCAAAACTAGATTGACAGAGTACTTAGAAAAGTAGGGATGAAACCAACATATACATAAATTAATTACTGGTTGACTAACGTAAAAACTAAAGTAAAGTGTCCTTATATAAGCTAGAAGACTTGATTCAGAATTCAAACATTATCAAGTTAGAAGAAAACATGTTAACCGAGGCAATTTTTAAAATGAGAGCAGGTACATAGTGGTGGGTGGGGCTACCCCTGCCTTTTCAAGCTGTAAATGTAAATATTGTCATTAAAGCCCCCCCCCTCCCCCCCCTTAGGGACGTCTGGGAAGTTCAAAATAAGTGAGACTTATTTTTTGAAAGAATTTATACAATTTCACTTACTGAATATTAAGTCAGATACCATTGTTAGGCGTATTTCTTCTTGCGCAAGTTTAGGTACATAGTCAGGTGTGATTGGGCTTTGTGAATTGATAACTTACTGTAGGAAGCGTTGCAGCAAAGAGGCCTCTTATTACACTTTTGTTGAAGTTCATAATTATGCAATTACTATTCCGACACTCAATTTGGTTTTTAAAAAGAAAATCAATTTTCCAATATTAACAAAGCCTTAGGGTTCTTAAAATCCTGTCTGAAGACGCCAAATAATATATATATATATATGAGAGAAATATATTTGAGCTAAATCAGTTATATAATCAGTTTCTTCTCCCACGTTACCCTTATTGTCCTTCTCTCCACTGATCCTTTAGGATATGGCATAAAACCTCCTAAATTAAAGCATTCCTAAAAAATCTAGCATTAACTCGGTAAACCGATCCCTCTACCGTTTTCCACATTTCATCAGGCATATGAGGGTGGGACTTTTGAAAATACGTGAGCTATATATCATATCTTTTATTAAGGTCCTGAGACAATATGCATTTCTGACAAACACCATTTTTGACACGGTTGCTTCTACCTTATATTTCGAGAACAAAAACTTGGTTAAGGTCAAGATCTAGTAAATGAAAGGAGCCTACAGATTTTTCAAATTTGAGAACTGAATTCCTTTTATGATGCTTTATAACTATAGCTTGGTCAAATAAGGTGTATCGGGGTATAATTTGTAGGTAAACAAGACGAAAAATATTTTAAACTGTCATTTTCAATGAAAAATTAAGAAAGTCAGTCATGAATATGGGAGTTTTTGTCATATCAGACAAATGAAATGTACCCAGATTGCCTACAGTCTCTCAGAAAACAGTAATTTGTATGTTCTTAGCCTCTTCTTTGAAATAATGTTAAATTGAATATAGGAACCGGGATTACTTTTTATACGATTTCAAATTGAACGCCATGAAAATACTTTATCTTCTACATAAGTCTATTAGAGTCGCAAAGTACGGGAAAAAGAAAGTTGGAATTGATAATGACGTCATAATGGATCTAGCACCAAAAAGACATTCTAAAGTCATTTACTAGATCTTGACCTTAACTTAATCACTTTCTGAAAAGACTTTGGTGGCAGGTCAAATTCTTTTAAAAATTGAGATACCCCATGTTTACTGTGATATTTTATGCAGAAAATTGATTAGAATAATTATGGGGCACATTAGCAGTGTTGCAGAGAGCTTGCTGAAAAAAAAATGATGTGCAACATGTAAGTGTCACTATGATGCTTAGCATATACCGAGTTGTACATGTACGTATATACAAAATTAGGACCCGTAGTCAGTTGCAGAGGAAATTCAGCTGGAAAGCAGCAAGGCTTAAGAAGGTGTGTATATCAGAGGGAAGGTGAATGGTCCCAGATCAATTGGTGAATTTTCATTAGGGCATCCTTTGATTTGCAGAACACTGGGTGTTTTATCCACCTCGCTCGGGACTGGGTGTGGGCTGTATGGGTGCAACTGAGGCCAAAATCTTGGAAAAACGAGCCAAAATTTGGGGAGGCCCCAAGTGCATTTTCAGTACATATGCACTCTAACAGGTAGATTATGTGTTATTTATTGACATAATTTTTTAGCCATGGGCATATGAAGTGTTATTGATTGATTGATTGATTGTATGCTGTTTTACGTCCCGTTCGAGAATTTTTCACTCGTATAGAGACGTCACGATATACCGGTGAAGAGCTTCAAATTTAAACCTTTATTCGGCACTCAGGGCCATTGAGCAGTGAGGGTTCTTTATCGTGCTACGCCTACCGTTACAGGGGCTTCGGTTTTTTTTTTTAGTCTCATCGGAAGGACCCGCAACTTTCACTTCAAAGTGACGAGCGCTTGGCGAAGTTGCTACCTTTTTTAATTGACCTAGGTCAGTTCCGGCTGTGATTCGAACACACGACCTTCCGATCACGGAGCGAGCGCTCTACCGACTGAGCTACCGTCACGGCTTGAAGTGTTATCAATTAGCCCCCATGAAACTGTCCCCATGTATATGCTTTTATTGATCGCACGTATAGAAACTGTCCCCATGTGCATGTTTTTATTGATCGCATGTATATACATAATTATATATATATAATTATATATATATATATATATATATATATATATATATATATATATATATATATATATATATATATATATATATATTAATGCAGTAAGTACTTTGATAGCCCAGTTACCCATTAAATGCTTATTTCTTAATCCTCTCATCACTAGAACACCTTATCTTATCCTCCTTCAATGAATAAAAAGTCTGTAAAACAGTTTGTCGTTTGTTGCCACCTTTGTGACGTTTAATAATTTGTTTGAAATTCTCAAAAATATTTTAAACAATGGCATGTAATTTCAGCAGACACAAAATATAAATATGAGAAATAAACAAATTTTGTAAAGGGAGATAATCCAAATTTCAAGTAAATACAACTTAGACTAACAGAAAAATCATGAAAATGGGTCTGAAAACGCTTAAATATAAAATTACAACCAAAAATTTTGTAGGCGGCGGGGTGGAAGGAGGTAAATAACAAGAAAAAAAAAGTTCGTACTCCAAGGCTGTAGGTGGGAGAAGAGGCAGATTGACGCACCGTGTGGCCGGAATTTTCTCCTAAGACATGACTCAAAATGACTATTATAATACATCGCTATACAATATTTCAGACTTGAACATTCAAGGAGGACACATTGATTACAATGAGAAATTTTAAGTAAATATATATATATATATATATATATATATATATATATATATATATATATATATATATATATGCTACGCATGCGCCAAATGATAGGCTGCAAAAAGTTTGGAGCTCTTAAATATATCGAAATTTGGGGGGGGGGGGGGGAGTGACTTAAGACACTGGAAATTTAAGTTAATTAACTCAGGAAAACACGAGGACTATGTTAGCAAAGTTTGTAACTGGGATTTTTCTCGAATTTTTGGTGAATTTTACGAAGTCGAAATCAAATGAAAAGAAAGAGGTTTGTTCCAATTCAGTGCACATCGTGAACATATACTCAGGATATACGATGGGCAATCAAAGAAAAGATTCAATTGTTATAAGCTATAGCAAAGAAGAACTAGTGAGACTTCACTCATTCCCGAGGCAATTAAATGTACCTGATCGTGATCTTCTAACCAGATTGACCTCATAGGTCAGTTACTTAGGGATGATAAGGTTGATTTTGCTCTTCTTACGGAAACCTGGTTTTCTGATGACAAACAGCATCAATTTGAAACGTGCAATTTAAAACAAAATAGTTATAAGCGTGGCAAATCGGCAAAACCGAATTGGTGGTTGTCACATACCTAAGATGTGTTTATTTTATATCCGGAAGTTATCCGTCTTTGTTTTGTATGTTAGCTGTTCTATTATTAAATTAAACAGGAAGTTCCACTGAAATCTTATTCCGGACATTTCATAAAACCTATGGGTGTCACCTCTCTTATCTGTCATTATAGAGGTCAAAACTTTAATGTGAACTTTTACATAGTCAAAAGTGATGTGCAAGCTATTCTAGGAGCTAAGACCTGTCAGGAAATGCAAATGTTACAACGCATTCACAACTTGACCCCTAGTGAACTACTTCCAGATAACATAGTGAAGAGCTATGGACATCTGTTCAAAGGCCTAGGTTGCTTACCTGGTATGCACACTATACGAGTTGACAAGACCATCAGTCCTGTAGTTCATCCTCCCAGGAAAATCCCTATTGCTATCAAGGACAAAGTCAAGGCAGAGCTAAATCGCATGACTGAACTGGGTGTTGTGGTCAAGCAAGAAGAACCTACTGACTGGGTGAACTCGATGGTCACTGTCATCAAACCAAATGGCAAAATCAGAATTTGCATCAATCCAAGAGACCTGAACAAGGCAATCCTTCGTGAGCACTACCCACTGAAAACTGTGGAGGAAGTTATATCACAGATGCCAGATGCAAAAGTATTTTCGAAACTCGACGCTACTAGTGGATTCTGGCAGCTAAGACTGGATGACAATAGCTCGAAATTATGTACATTTAACACTCCCTTTGGCAGATATAGATTTACACGTTTACCTTTTGGGATCAAGTCTGCGCCAGAAGTTTTTCAGAAAGTAATCTCGCAAATGGTTTCTGATATTGACGAAGCAGAAGCAATCATTGATGACATCCTGGTGTGGGGAACCAATCAAGAAGAGCATGACACAAGACTAAAGAAAGTTCTGGAGAGAGCAAAAGAGTACAACCTGAAACTCAGTGCAGAAAAATGTGAGTTTAGAAAATCAGAAGTCACTTATGTTGGACACCGACTTACAGCTGAAGGAATCAAACCTGACCCAGAAAAAGTCCGAGCTGTCAACAACATGTTAAAACCTACCTGTCTGAAAGAACTCCAAACTTTCATGGGTTTTATTCAATACCTAAGCAAGTTCTTGCCTCGGTTATCTTCAGTCAGCGCACCACTTAGAACATTGCTTGAAAAAGACATTGATTGGCAATGGTATGAGCAAAAAGAAACCAGCTTTAAGAAACTAAAGGAGATGGCTACCAGTGCACCGATTTTACAGTACTATGACCAAAACAAGCCTCTTACCCTAAGTGTTGATGCTAGCTCTAAAGGACTAGGAGCCGTACTGATACAAAACCAGAGACCAGTTGCTTACGCATCAAGAGCATTAACACCAACACAACAGAAATACTCTCAAATCGAGAAGGAAACGCTTGCTATCGTATATGGATGCAACAAATTTCACGAATATGTTTATGGAAACTGCTCCTATAGAGCTTATAGAAACTGACCACAAACCTTTGCAGTCAATTTTCCACAACCACTGCATCAGACACCACCAAGACTTAAACGACTCACTAGAGAAATATGATCTTGAAGTAAGATACAAACCGGGAAAGGAGATGTTTCTGGCGGATCATCTTAGCAGATCGTTCTTACCTGAGACCAAAGAAGTACTCGTGCCTGATATCAACGTTAATGAGATTCATCTCATTTCTCATTTACCGATATCCCAGGATATGTATGAAAAATTCCAGAAGGAAACCTCAAAGGATGATCATCTCCAGGATCTGCAAAACGCCATATTGGATGGATGGCCGAAGGAGAAAAGTGATGTTTCTCACAAGTTAAGACCTTATTGGACATTTAGAGATGAATTATCTGTCATGGATGGACTTCTCTACAAGTCAAGTAAACTAATTGTACCAAAATCACTCCAGAATGCAATGCTGGATAAAATTCACGAATCACATATTGGCATAGTCAAATGCAAAGCTCGTGCCAGAGATATTCTATTCTGGATAGGGATGTCAGCGGACATTGAGGACCGTGTCAAGTCTTGTGGACTATGCGCACAACATCAGAATATCAATGCCAAGGAGCCTATGCTGGTACCTGACAAACCTGACCGACCTTGGTCAAAAATTGCTGCTGATCTGTTTGAATATGAAAATCACCATTACCTGCTTGTTGTTGACTACTTCTCGAAATGGCCTGAAGTAATAAAGCTAGACAACTTATCAAGCAAAACAACTATCACCTGCTTGAAAGGACTTATTTCAAGATACGGGTTCATTGATGAAATAATATCCGATAACGGACCCCAGTTCTCATCTATGGATTTCAAAGCTTTCTCGACGGAGTTTGGATTCAAACATGTCACAAGCAGTCCACACTTTGCCCAATCAAATGGACAGGCAGAACGGATGGTACAGACAGTGAAAAGGCTCATCATGAAGTCTACAGACCCATTCAAAGCTCTACTGGACTATCGAAACACTCCTTTGGACATTGGATTATCACCAGCACAACTTTTCCTTAACCGGCGACTGAAAACATCACTCTCAACCTCTGCACCATTATTAAAGCCACTTGGGATGGACACCAAAGAAATCAAATCGATCCTAAAAAATCGCCAACTGAAAACCAAGATCCATTATGACAAGCATGCAGGACAAGGATTGGAACCTCTTAGAGCTGGCGACCCGGTATTCATATACACAGAAGGAAGTTGGAAACCTGGGCAAGTTCTTGAACGTCACTCTTCACCTAGATCGTACGTTGTTCAAGCATCAGACGGAAGGAAGTTGAGACGAAACCGCAGATATTTACGGACAACTCGTTATCGTGCTGCTCAAACTCAGGCTAATGGAAATGATAATCGCATTGAATATCCATGTGTTAATCCTGAAACTGTACATGACCATTTAGATGAGCGTGACATGGACATTCGTAACACTGCCAAAACGAACATCCAACCGGTACCACCTCATTGTACGCGCTCTGGAAGAGAAGTGAGGCCACCAAAAAGGCTAAATGATTATGTTGAATAACTTGGTTAATTCTTTGTATTGTTGAGAAAAGACTTAAGAGAGCTGTAGGAATTTTATTGTTATGTAAATTTTATGCTTAATTTTCTAGTCATTTGTAACCTCTAGTCAATTTTCATTTTTTGAATTTTAATTTGAAGTCAACTGTCATGTCCATATCTTTTCTAAATACCATCATTCAATTTTATTATCCTCCTAAGCTTTAATTAATGCATAATAATTTTCAGTTTAGAAAAAGGGGGATGTCATATACCTAAGATGTGTTTATTTTATATCCGGAAGTTATCCGTCTTTGTTTTGTATGTTAGCTGTTCTATTATTAAATTAGTAACTATCATGGCGGCCTCCTTGTTATTTGACAGTGGTGGTATTGCTCTAACATGTCGGACAGGAGCAAACATGTGTAAGATAAAATCCGGAATGAAAAAATGTGAATTTGGCATTTGGAGGCTTATTTTTAAAAAACGTTACTGTGCATATAGTAGGAATTTATAGACCCCCATCTTGGTCAACACCAGCACAATTTAATGCCGAGTTCTTTCAGCTTATGGAAGAAGTTATACCAAAGTACTATAATTTAATGATCATGGGTGATTTCAATTTGCATATTCATGATGAAAACAGTGCAATAGATTCACTGTTTGCAATGTGTTTAGAGCAGCACGTCAATTTTAGTACACGTACATGTCGGCGGAAACAGCCTAGATTTGGTTATAGCAGAGGCCGTTGATGGTATAAAAGTACTTCTATGTCAACCTGGAGTATTTGTTTCGGATCACTGTATTTTTAAAATTATCCTAAATGTGAACAAAGAGTACATCAAAAGTCAAACAACTGCGCGACGGAACTTTAAAGAAATTGATAATGCGGCATTTGGGCAGGATCTAAGTGAAATCGTACTCGATTGTGAAGATGTCAATCAATCTGTCGATAAGTTTGAAACTGCAGTAAGAGATATTTTAGACATTCATGCCCCAATAAAGGAAAAAAAAACGCGGATTGTACGAGCACCTAAACCATGGTTTACTGAAAATTTTCATCATCTTTCATGTTTTTATATATATATATATATATATACATATATATATATATATATATATATATATATATATATATATATATATATATATATATATATAATTATATAATTATATATATATATATATATATATATATATATATATATATATATATGGGTGTGTTTGGCATTAAAAAAAAACACTATCCCCTGCCACCTTTACGTTTAATCTTTACGAACGCGGTTTTGTTTACTAGAATTATGAGATTGATCACTGTTCATTATATTCATCTTTTACACTTACTTGTGCACTCAATCAAAATATGCAAATTATTGTGAGCTTTGAGCCCTTAACAAATTTGTTTTTATGCCCCCGTAATCGGAGATTTGGTCTGTCGTTTTCTATTCTATACCTCTAAGTGTCTAAATGTTTGAACAAAAGTCAAATAATAGTTATACTTTCTTGGAAAGTGTTGTTTATTCATTTTAATATTTTTTTGTGCAATCTGAACAATAAACTACATGTAATTCTCTAAGTTACCTTGCAGTTACTGCGCATTACTGTGCATTTTTGTGTAATAATAAATTTTATATCTGATAGAGTAATCTGATATTTTAATTTTTTTTTTTCAAATTACATATATGTGTATATTAATTATTAGGGCCCCGCAAGGATTTGCGGGTGCCCTATAGTATAATCACTCTGTCTGTCTGTCCGTCTGTCTGTCCGTCTGTCATTCTTCCGTCCACAAATTTTCTGTTTTTTTCTAATAACTTTTTTTAGGGTTGACCACTTAAGTTCAAATTTGGTATGTTGGTTGAATAGGCAGTAAGACATATTTTGATGCTAAGTTTGGTTCTCTATGTCATCCGGTTTGGGGCTGGGGTGGTGGGGTAGATTCCTTAACTTTATATAAGAGTGAATCAGCAAAGAGAGATAACTGCTGAGAATGTTCCTATTGTAAACTATGAAAGGCTGCAATGAGTCTCTTGGGATTAATTAACTTTTCTCTTCAAGAAAATCCAAAGCATTTATCTTTATCTGTCACATTGAGATTAATTAACACCTCTGTCTGCAAATGAAGTTTGTTTTGAAGTTAAGGTCAATTCTGAATGATGTTTACATTCTCTGATATGTGGATTTAAATAATGTTCATACTTTATTTTGGTAAAATACACAATGAGTTATTTATGATTTTATTGAATTCTAAAAACAAGATATAGATAAAGATATCTTTTTTATAATTATTTTCTTTTTTTTTCTTTTTTCTGCCTTATGTAAATTCAAGAATACTATTTATTTTAAGAGGTAATCAGATAATAACCTCATTCTATCATTGCTGAAAAAGTTCTTGTTGTAAATTTAGAAGAAAAGGTTGAGAGAGCAGTATAATTAATCCCCTGGGATTAATTATCTTGCTGGTCCCAGAAAAGTTTAGAGGGTTGTGTTTCTGTCACTTTAAGATTAATTAACACCTTTGTCTGCAACAGTTACTGATGTTTGTTTTGAAGTTAAGGTCAAGCCTGGGTGATATTTGCATTCACTGAAGACTGGCATTTTAGAAAACACATGCTTCATTCTTCTTTAAATATACATTTAATTGAGTTATTATAGATATGATGTTTTTACTGCCTTATGTAAATACAAGGATACTATTTACAGGTTGAAGGAATATTTAGCAGTTGCTGTTGCTTATTCTTCTTTATATATTTTTAAATTTTTGTAATCAAGTAAAATTCTCATCCCGTAATCTACACCCTTTTATTTCTACCACAGGCACTTGTTTTGGTAATAAATTTTTAACCCATAGTATAGTAATAACACAAGGTATCTAACTCCGAATTACACGGAGTACCCCCCTCCCCCAGAATCGCACTCATTTACACTTTCAGAGGAAATACACTGACGAACTGTTTATACCTATGTTTTCTACGATAATTTATCTACACAACCATATATGGCATGCTTGTCTTTATTTTCTTTAGTCTCCGTAAACAGCGTCAAAACTCTGCTCGCCGTGTGGAAAAGTCGAATTCAACCATGAAATGCTATGTGCTAATCCCGCACAGAGATTTTGATCGGCTAAAAATCTGTTTCAAGTTACATCGGATAAACATCGTAATGTTTTCAGGGAAAATCAGACGTAAACAAGTTTTATTTACTCATGCAATATTTAAACACTGGAATTGAATTTTTAAACCCACTCATTTTTTAATTTTGTTCTCTGTGCGGGATTAGCACATACCATTTCATGGTTAAATTCGACTTTTCCACATGGCGAGCAGAGTTTTGACGCTGTTTACGGAGACTAAAGAAAATAAAGACAAGCATGCCATATATGGTTGTGTAGATAAATTATCGTAGAAAACATAGGTATAAACAGTTTGTCAGTGTATTTCCTCTGAAAGTGTAAATGAGTGCGATTCTGGGAGAGGGGGGTACTCCGTGTAATTCGGAGTTAGATACCTTGTGTTATTACTATACTATGGGTTAAAAATTTATTACCGAAACAAGTGCCTGTGATTTCTACCCCTCGGTCGGGCCCTTGCTGACTGGTCAGGTTTCTAGTTTATTTCAGTGACGTATTCACGAATACCGTTTTATTTTTAGAATCAACATTTCGTTTTTTGCATGCACCATTTATAAAAGCATTACATTAATAATTGGTTAATAATTTCACTTATGATCTATATGAAGTACCTATCCTGAGGGTATACAACTTAATTTGCCAGTTTAATTTCCATGCCTTTGAATGGTTGGAGACGTTTTCCCGCAGATATCCTTCTTAATAGATCAGATTTTTTATATTCATATGATGCAGAATTTATTCAAAACTTCTACATGAGTAGGAAAAAACAATTACAGTGGCCTTCAACTCCACATTTAGATGTATCGATGACATACTATCAATTAACAATAATTACTTCCATTCATATGTCAACTCGATATATACCAGTGAGCTTGAAATAAAAGATATCAGAGTCTGACACATCTGTTTCATATTTAGATATTTTTCACGAAAAAACTTTAATGGTAATCTAACAATAAAACTGTATGATAATTGTGATGACTTCAATATTCCACTTCCCGTACTTAGGTAGCAATATACCCTTTTCATCTGCATCTGGGGTTTTGTCTCCCAGTTGATTCGATACGCAAGAGCATGCTCTACGTATGAACAATTTCTAAAACGAGCCAAGCTATTGATAAACAAGTTGATGAAACAAGGATATCAACAGTCGTTTAAAGTCATCATTTCGCAAGTTTTATGGTCGATACAATGACCTTGACCGCAAATACAACCTATCATTAAGTCAAATGCTTACTGACGTTTTCATACTTAGTGTTAGGCTAATTTTACACACTGAATTGTTTACGGATTTTTTCGTTTTTCCGGATCATGACAGGGAGCACACAACAGGTATGACCGGTCGGCAGGTGATATTCAATCCTCCATGGATCCTAATCCCACCTCTGGGTTTACTTTATTTCAGTGTTATTGATCATAAATGTTTAAATTACATAAAGATTTATCATAACATCACATTTTAACAGCAAAATAAAAATCTAAAAATGCAGCTCATATTGCTTTAATAATTTTCTTAGATGCATGTATGTTTAAGACTGAAATTTTTATGTCATTAAAAGGATAGACTTCCTGTTTGATGTGAATAATACCAGGTGGAAAAGGGGTGTGATCTTAATTATATCGAAAGGCAAACATAAATAGTTTCAGTGTAGGAAGGAATTGTTATTCTAATCATATGCATAGACTTTGGCTATATATGTAAAGTAAGAAATCTTATACCCTTTCAGCTACATGTATACAATTTTTTTTGGTGTATTACAATTTAAACATTTTATTTGCAATCGACTTGGATTACTTTCCATCAATGATTTTTCGTCTTTGACATAAGGCCAAAGTTTTTATTTTTTTTGGTTTACGATTTTCTGTCTCAAAAAAATGCATTGGGTGGTCGAAAA